GTCACGCTTCCCTATCCGGATCTGCAAAGCTCAACGATCACCGTACCGGAGCTCTGTCTCGACGGTATGGTATCGGAGGAGAGAGGGAAGTGGAGGTTCTGATGACACTATCTTCACTGCTCAACCCTAACGGGCTACCTACAGTTACCGTGGTGACCTATTATTCTTTCTAGGGTGGAACTTGGTGCCTTAGACTTAGATTCGTATTTCTATAGGACTCTCGTGCCTGGTGTCACAAACCTATCGGGTTTGGAATTCTGGGTTCTGGTTCCGCCGGTAATCATTTCGCGGGTCTAATTGCACGGTGTACTAGGGGTCCCCCAATCTAAGGTCTCGTCTAGCTTATTTAGCCAAAAGCATCCTAATCAAGCTCATAATTTCTTCCTATTCATCCAGAAAGACAAGCCAAGCAATCATCATACAAGAGAGTTTACACGCAGCAGTTCATGCAAAATTATCAAACATGCTCAATGGGAAGATAACGTCCGACTTTTACCCGGAGCGCAGATTTCACAAGTTTCCCAACCCCCTCATGCATACATACATTATCAGAGTCTCAATCAAACAGATTTAATACACATTTTGAATCTAGCTTTCCATAATCATCTTATATTCGCAGTTTCTATAATAGGACGCTAAGTCGGGCTAGCTAATTTCATAGGTGGTAGCATGCATGCTCGTTCCTAGCGGTTCCTACAAGTATTGCTTGTGGAAGTCCAAATGGCTACTTACATGGTCGACGCGTGCCTTCCCGAGTTCAAGTTTTCTTGACGGAATGGATTCCAACAATTCTGGAATTTTCTTCACAAGTCCGAAAATCACGTTATCTTTAAACTCCGATTTGAACGCCGATCTTGGCCGCCTTCACTTCAGAACTTAACCAGATAGCGCTGTTGGGGGGTAAGAGTCCAAGGATCAATACAAAACGTTGCTAGCACACGAAAATTTTGATGACTTCTCCATGTAGATACTCGTGGACTAACCTGAAGTTCTTGAACGTTTTGTCGAGATAGGAAGGTGCGATTCGTGAGAGCACCTTGCCTCGAGCTATTCAACGGTTTAGATTGGGGACTCGGTTCTCCGGCGTCGGTTCTGATCCGATCTCCTCCCCTTCCTCAAAACCCTAATCTTCTTTCCCTCTTCTTTCTCTTTTCCCCATTTTAACTCAGCCAAAACAAACCCCTCAACTTATAGGGGCGAAATGACTAGTTTGCCCCTATTGTAACCATTTTTTTTTTTTTTTTTTTTT